ACTCCGGCCTGGTTCATACGACCACCGCTTTTGAATTATAAAAGCCGGAAAACGGGTCCGGCATCCCTTACATCATAGAAAAGGTTACAATAATTAAAAAAAAAAAAAAAAAAAGGTTACACTCCCTTCCAAAAGTACACTTCAAATTAACGAAATGTGCAGAGTTTGCAGACTGAGGACTCCACGTATTTTTAATTTTTTATTTTCATTTTTGAAGGCAATCCTCCACTCTTTTTTTCGTTTTTGTAAGTCAAAATGTTTTTTTTGTTTGTTTGTTCTTTGTTATTATTATTTTTCTTTTTCTTTCTCTTTTTGAAGGCAATCCTCCTCCTCTCTTTTTTTTTTTTTTTTTTTTTTTTGGAATCCTCCATTTTCAGGACTGTGCAGGCTGAGAACTCTCGAGCTTTTCTTTCAGTGAAGGGCCTGAAGGCATCTCTTGATTTTCTCAAGAGTCGAGAGGGCTCTTCAGGGAATTCTTCTAACAAGGTCATAAGGCCGGCTTCTTTGGCGTTCAAAATGGCGAGATGAATCTGGACGTGTTTAAAGCAGAGATGCAGAAAAGCAGTTCAATCTCGATTTCCTGCACATCTCCATAAACTCGTCCAGATTTGGGACCCCTCCTGGGAGTTGGTGGTCCAGAGGAGCCTCACTCTCCCAAATCCCAGAATAGGAGGGGTCATGGAAGGAGACCATGTACTCTACCTCCTTATGGACTTTTCCAATTAGATGGGAGCGGGACCGCTTTGGGACCGGGCCCTTAGTTGCATGAGCTGAACCACTTAGGCGACTGGGCCGGGAACCCGCATGGGACACTTGAAAAGAGCGAGAAAAAAAAGAAAAAAAAAAAAGAGCGAGATGGTCCCAGTAGAGGGGAGGATCGGTAGGGATGGACTGACAAAATGAAGACTCAAGAGAGAGTAAGGTCAGGATAGGGGAGCCGCTGTAGGGACAGGTCCCTCAGGATGGTCCCATCGCTTGGGACAGAAGATTGCGCAACTTGCACAGATTAAGAGATCTTGACCGCTCGTTTCTTTATCTTCCACTGGACCAGGTGTGCAATTTCATTTCTGTCCTTAGGTCCGCTGTCAGTAAGCAAAAGCACGTGCAAGTGTGGGACCTGTCCCGAAGTCCCGGGTCCCGAAATCCCGGGTCTATCCTCGTGGTATGGTCCGCCCAGACTGTTGCCCCCTCTGAGGTGGCCGTTGATTTGGGTAAGGGATGGACAGAATGGAAGAGTCCCAAAAAGTGGGACCTTGCCCCAGATTGCTGCAATATGCCCTCTTCTGCACACACCTGGGCCCAGGTCTCACTTTTGAGGACGAGAATTTGAGAAATGTGGTGGTCCCACTGGTCCCCCGCCCCCCCGGCCCCCGTAAAAAAAAAAATGGTCGCCCCTGGATAATGAAGATCAGTGTCCCAGAAAAAAAATAAAAAAATATAAAAAAATCAGTGACCGATAACTCTTCAACTAATGGGGAGCCATTTATACTTCAAGTTGGCAAGTGCAGAAAGTCGAGATTGAACTCCTTTTCTGCATCTCTGCCTAAAAGACGCCCAGATTCAGGTTCTTAATCCAATCCTCTTTGCTAGTGGGACCTCTCCCAGGGAGCCATGTGTACTCGGGAATGGGACATGGCCCCCGGATTCTCTGGTAGCCTAGTCTTTTTTTTGGGGGGAAAAAAATTGCATCTGTAGATTCTGTACCCCACTTAAACTTAAAGATGGGAATACCCCCTCGCTATACGCGGAGTAACCGACGTAGAAGTGAAACTACTGTTGAGTGGCTTCGTCCTTGTCGATAATGGCTTCGAATAACCCGAATGCACGTTGACGGACTGCCTGGCTTGGTACATTCGAATGCATGTTAGTGTGATCTGAATCATACCAGTGCCAACTTGCACCTATACCCAGAAAACTGCCAGTGGAAATTATTTGCATGCCCAGGACTGAGGTGGACCCAGTTTGGTACAGCAAAATTGCAGTTATAACCAACTACCAGAATGCACAAATTGCAGACATACCCAGGCAGGGCATAACCAGGACTGAGGTGGACCGGACAAATTATGCATATATACCATATATACCCTACTACCAGATGCCTGAAATTATGTTGATACCCTGCAGCGGCTGCACCACAAGGGCCCACGTGGTGGGGGGAATCAGCATAATTTTGTGGTCTGACATCCAAGGCCCGCCCGTGGGGCGTGGCTGAGGGTACACCCACAATTTTGCCAGTCCATTTCTGGGGGCATGGGCATTATTTCGTTGCCTGGAACTCAGGGCCTGTGGGACTGGGTATTCCTACAATTTCGCACGCCGGGGGCGGGGGGGGGGGGGGGGGCGAAAGTGGGGTTACCGTACTGTGCAAAGTTGAATGGGGTCCAGGAATCGATGCAAGTTGGGTGCTGGGATTGGGTATAGCCGGTATTCCGATCTTTAAGTGGGGTACAGATGCAATTGCCCCTTCTTTTTTCTTCCCTTCAGCTCTGTTCTGCTCCATTCTATAGGCAGGGAGGATCCGGACCCAACGGCCATTTGTCCCATAAAATAATGTTATATGCTTACATTGCTTAGCATGTACAATGTTTTCCACATACTTTTTTTTTTTATTTTTTATACAATGTTTTCCACATGCACTATTACCAATCCCGAACTTCTACATTATTAGATGGGGTTACTTTTCACATCAGAGTGTGGTTGTGCTGAATTGGTTGGATGGGATGGGTGGGGAGCTGTGGTTAGGAATCCATTATGATATATCTTCCTTTCACAATCTCCCTAGGCTTGTACACAGAGTCTGTTTTTTTTTTTTTTTTTTTTTTTTTTTTTTTTTTAGGGGGCCCCCCGTTTTATGTTTTTTTTTTTTTTTTTTTTTTTTTTTTTTTTTTTTTTTTTTTTTTTTTTTTTTTTTTTTTTTTTGTAGACGGCCCCTACATTCAGGTTACCTTTGCGATTGCCCCTTCCTTGGGACTCTTTTTTTTTTTGTTTTGAAATTTAGACCATTTCAGGATTTATGCGTGTCATCCTTGAAAGCGCAGGGGCTATGCTAATCTTCTGAAAAGAGTAAAAAGTCCTTCCGGACATCCGTTAAAATTGGAACGATACAGAGACGATGTCCGGAAGGACTTTTTACTCTTTTCGTTTGGAGTGAGGACTCTGTTCGGGACTTGCTAGAGACGTGTTTTTTTTTTTTTTTAATTACTCCATTCTATTGGTGGGGAGCTACACCTGCTGGAAAACGGGTCCAGCGTCCCTTATATCATGAGTGTACATCAAAAACATACTGCCAAATTGTCTTGCGGGAGAACCAAGAAGTCGTCTTTTTTTTTCTTTTTTTTTAACCAAGTCGTCCTTTTCCTCCCACAAGTAACGACAAAAAATTACCCCTCTTGTATTCTGAGGCCCAGGCTTTCTTTCTTCTTTTTTTTTTTTTTTTTTTTTTTTTTTTTTTTTTTTTTGCGGCCCAGACTTTCAAAAAGGAGGACCGAGCCAGATCTATCAAGGGAGTCCCTTCTTTCGTCTTCCTATATTCTGCGAAAATCAGATTTCTAACAGACAGCATAAACTTGAAGTCGTTCCGGATCCTGGGAATTGACCATGAGATCCCGCAAAATCTACGATCCCTAAGTGCACTACCAGAGGGCCCAGAAACCAACAACTCTGAATTTATTTGCTATCAGGCTTCTTGGGCTATTGCCCTGATCTCCAAAGAAGATGAAGTCCTCGGTCCAGAAATGCATGTTTTTTTTTTTTGTTGTTGTTGTGAAATGCATGTTTTTTTTAGGGTGTACTTGTGTCTGTTTCTTTAAAATTGTTGTGGTTTTATTTTGTTAAGTCAGACTCTGTTGTTAATCCGATACCCGCTCTTGAAGGGATGAGTTGGAGAGAAAGAGAAAAAAACAAGGCTATTTCTAGCAGCTAGCATTAGGAAGCTATTTAGGCAAGAAGACCCACACAGTTGCCCTTTCTACAAAGCATATGGACGTAATTACGGTCTGATGCATCCCACATTGCCTTCGTATCAGTATTCATCATGCCGTTAATTGGCCAAAAAACAAGAGGGAAAAAAAAGAATAAACGAAGACCTGTCTCTGCTAGTTGCTGTTTGCGCGCGACTGCTTCTTTTTTTTTTTCTTTTTTTTTTCTTCTTTTTTTTTTCTTTTTTTTTGGGGGGGGGGGGAGCCGTATCATTTAATTGGTCAGCGAAGGAAATGCAAAAAAAAAAAAAAAAAAAAAATCATGAAAAGAAAAACGAGCTTCAGCTAACCTCTACCATGCCTTTCTCTGTCAACTCCCTTGCCGTCTGTCTGTCCCTCCCGAACGGATTCAATTTGGAAAATGCCCCCCAGGACCTCCTCCCTCCTTCCTTTCCTACCCGTCCCCATCTTTCTTCCCAACTTTAACATCTGCCCTCCTTCCCTCCCGCTGCCCTCCCTCCCATCCCCTCTCCCTCTCCCCTTCTTCCTCGCCCCCTTTCCTATCTGTCCTCTCCTCCCTCCCTCTCCCTGTCCTTCTCCCATCCCGTCCATACTATTCTCTTGTCCTATGCGCTCTTCTCATCCTCCTCTTTTCTCCCTCCCCTCTCTACCTCTCTTCCCCCCCCCTCCCTCCCTTCCTCACCTCTCCTTTCTCCTCTGTGCCTCTCCCACCACGCCCCCCCTCTCCTTTCTGCACACCTGTACTTATCATTCTCTCTTCTCTTCCTTCCTCTTCCCTTTTCTCCCTCTCTTCGCCTCCTCACGACGTCTCCCCTCCCTCCTCTGTCCCTCTCCCACCTCTCCCACCCTGTCCTTTCTCTAAACCTGTTCCTACTCTTCCCTCCCGTCCTTCCTCTGCCCCCCTCCCTCCTCTGTCCCTCTCCTACCTCTCCCACCCTATCCTTTGTCCAAACCTATTCATACTACTCTCTCGCTCCCCCCTCCTCCCTCCCTCTCTCAACCTCTCCCACCCCCTCCCACCCCCCTGTCCGTACTACTTCTCTCTGATCATCACCATCGCAGAAGGACGATGGAAGTTTCCCGGCATCGGCGAATTTCAATGCTATGACAAGCGAGCGGCTGCGCATTTGAGGTCCGCCGCCACAGCTCGCGGCCATCCTGAGTGGGGACACTGTGGGCCCCATGATTCTGGGACTTATAACTGCTTTCCGCATGAGACCGGCTTTTTTCGGGATCACGGGGGAAACTGGGACACAGAATACGGACGCTTCTTTTTGGAGGTATGCTCCTATTATTTGTGTTAGGTGAAGGGGGAAGTGGTGTTTCACTTCCCTTTATAACACCTCCCCTCCCCTCCCCTCCCCTCCCCTCTCCCCGTTCAACAACCCCTCCCGGCCCAACACACGCCCCCCCTCCCTCGCTTGTTTCGCTTCCTGCTACCACTCAATCACTCTCGGCGAAATGAAGTTGCTGCTTTCATTCATGCCCCACATATATATTCTTCAAAATTGGTCACTCCTGTAAATCCATAAATCATAGAACAACCGAATAAGAAAATCCCAGAGGAAAAGGCACCTAAAATGAAATATTTTAATCCAGCCTCTGTAGAGAATTCAGAATTTCGTTTTGATGCTGCTCTAACATATATATATATATATATATATATATATCGTCACATATATTAGCCTCCTGATGAGTCGGTGAAACTCCGACGAAACAGTTTGTCACAGCCCCTCGTTTGTTGTCCTCTTCTCTCTCTCTGCCTACGGTTTACCGGGCAGTTCTGTTTGTGACGATATATATTATTGTCTTCCTCAAAAAGAAGGAAAAGAAAAAAATAAATATAAAAAAAGAGAAAAAACAGGTCGTGAGCTTTCATCACCGCTCGAACTTCGATTTCGTGCTCATTTTCCTTGCAGTTTCTTTTTTTTTTATAGCAGAACAATTCATTTTTCTTGGCGTTTTTTTTTGGTGGAATTCGTTTTTTTTTTTTTTTTTTTTTTTTTTGTTTGTTTGTTTGTTTGTTTGTTTGTTTGTTTGTTTGTTTGGAAAGCTTCAATATTTATTGCAAAGATGCCAATGGGACGAGGCCGGGGACCTCACAATTCGACCCGCCGGAGTTGTCCTGCTGGCAGCCTCAGCCAGTTTCGCTTTTGAACCAAGCTCGAAAACCCACCCGCTGCTCCAAATCTCTCAATTCTACTACTGGAAACCGGCTCCAGCGTCCCAGGCTAGATCCAATGAACTTTCCAAAATTAAGTTAAGCATGAAGCACATGTAAAAAGGGGTCCAGCGTCCCAGAGCTAGATACAATGAATTTCGAAAATTAAGCATGAAGCAGATGTGAAAAGGACTGCATTTGCAGTCTATAATTGCTAAAACTCTTTCCTCTCAAAGTCGTGAAGCTCAGACAACGTGGGGCCATGGCACTGAGTGAGTACCAGGGATTTCAGAAATCCCTCAACCCTTGACAAACTGCCCAATGGCATGAAACTCAATCAAAAAGGGCACAGGAGGGTCAAAAGATGAAGGGACCATTAATCAGGTGTCTGACTTAGTTAAATGGACTTTCTTTTTTTTAACAGAATACGATTCATTTTTTTTTGCGTTTTTGTTGGTCGGAATTCATTTCTTTGTTTTTTTTAATAACAGAACAATTCATCAAAAAAAAAAAAAAAGAACAATTCATTTCAGTTTGGTGCTGCCCTGATCGTGAAGCGGAAACCGCTTATATGAACCCAAAAAAAAAAAAAAAGGAGAAAGAAAACGGCCTCTTCTGGTTGAATTTACAGCGATGAACTGCTCAAGAGACCGTTCGTTGTTTTTTTTTTTTTTTTTTTTTTTTTTTTGGTGGGGGTTTAATCCAAGCCACATCCGTCGGAGACCTGCTATACACAAAGAGGCCGTTCCGTCCTTCGGGACAAATCCGTTAAAATTGGAACGATACAGGGAGGCATCTTAGACAAGGTTAGCTTGGCGCCTGCGCAAGGATGATTTCACATAAATGATAAATGGGTAAAGGATCCAATTATTAAAAATAAATAAATAAATAAATAAGATATTTGTCAAGGAGGAGGCCCCTCCGACGTGTCAGGAGGAGGCCCACTATTTTCCGAACCGACGTGGCCTAGCGTGACGTGGCACCCTCTGGAAATCTGCTTGCTGTCCTTCTGACGTGGAATTTTGTCGTTTAGTTTGCTTTGCATGTGCTCCTACGTGATCACTTGTGCAGCTTGCATGTATTCCTACGTGACCAGTTTTCCAGCTTGCATGTGTTCCTGCGTGAGCACTTTTGCGGACGTGGCACTGTCTGGGGCTCTGATTGCAGATGTCCTTGCTGACAAGGATGTTAATTTTGTCGTGTTGCTTGCATGTGCGGCATGCATGCTTACGTGGCCCGTGCTGCAGTGGTACTCTGGAGCGCTCCTTCAGCATGGAGAGAGGATGCTGCGAGCTGCATGCCGGGCCTTTTTCGACGTGGATCTCAGTGGCATGGGCTATTGCTCGGTGGCTAGGAGATCTGGGCCGCACACCGGTAATGGGAGAGGAGGTGAGCTGCAATCCCCGTGGAGGAGTCGAACAGACGGACAAGTGAAGCTTAGCGTCAAATGCGCAGGCGTGCATTGGTGGTATAACACTGCCTCTCACGCGGCTGAGCTGACTGCAGGTTACTACAACACGCGCAAGAAGAGGGGATACGATGATATCGTATACATGTGCTGGATGTACGGAGCGGAGCTCAATTTCACATGTATAGAGATGAGGGACTCGGAGCAGCCCGGCTCGGCCTACTGCAGTCCAGAGGGTCTGCTCAAGCAGGTACAGGCAGTACCCTCACTGCCTCCTCCTTCCTATAGGCTATAGCCCAGTCGAACGAAAACGAAATGTCTGACAGACTGACACCCTCTCACAGCCTCTCAGGGCTTTACGTCTTTTTGCTCTCGTCAACCAAGCATCGCTACTGCTTAAGCTGTGCTGACTAACATTGGTCGATACATGGATGGATGCCATTGGATGGATGAATGGATGGATGGATGGGTAGATAAATGAATTGTACATAGACGGAWARCWTRACACACGGACATAWAAGARAGAGAGAGAGAGAGAGAGAGAGAGAGAGAGAGAGAGAGAGAGAGAGAGAGAGAGAGAGAGAGAGRGRKAGARWSATASWAGAATGAACCGCCATTCCTTTTTTACTAGAATGTAACAATGGAGTGGGCTTGTTGTTGAAAGGAGGCTGCTTGTCAGGTGTCGAGACTCTGGAGACTCTGAAGAGGGATGACACGGGAAAGCAACGGAGGTAAAGTTTACGAAGCAATAGAGAGACTGACACTTGTGACCTTCCTTGTTGCATTCTGCGGGTGGTTGCTTGTGTGGGGGGTTTGCTTGTGGCTGCTGGTTCCCATTTCTCCCCTTCACTGTCGTTTCGCTTCATATCTGCCTCCCACATCCGTCCTTCGAGTCCTTTAC